CATAAAACAAAACAAAAAAAAAGTTCATTTTAATCAAGCTCTTGTACAGCTTGTGTCGAGACCTTATAAGGGGATAGTCTGTTTTTTAATATGTCCCTGTATGTGACATTAAAAACTAACTTGAGGATCTGGGGGTATTAGTGGTGGAATGCTTGACACATATGTGAGGGCACAGGTTCTATCTCCAGCACCAAAAAAAAAACCACTAACTTGAATATTGTTCCCTTCTTTTATTGTACAATCTACTACATTCTTAAGAATAAGGAAATTGCCATTTCAGAAGAGATGATAGTTTTATCTTGCCAAGGAGTTATCTTCTTAGTAGACTATAATTGGCTTATTCCAAAAAAGGCATTAAGCTCCATCACAACATCTTCTGTGCCTCTCAGAAAGCATATGCTTTGATTTTTGAAGTATGTAGTATATTTGAACTATCAGTTACTTAATTTGACAAATTTTATTCTTCATAGCTATGAAGAAACCAAGGAAAACTCTTCCAGCTGCTCATCCCCTTGTTAATGCATATCTTATGAACCCTCAGCTAAAAAGCAGCTCAGCCTAAAAGCGGGAAAGGTAGCATCTCAACGAGCATCTATTACCTCAGAGAAGTAAACTGATTTTGTGCTGGGGCTATGCTGTAGCTAGTGAAAAAGTAGTGAATCTTCTACTTCTGGGAAGTGCCTTTAAATAAGCGAATAGAAAATTAACTCTTGATGCCTAGCTTCGCCACTTCCATACAAAGCCTATTTGCAGGAGCTGTTCAGAGAGATGGCTCCAGTTCAAGTAGTGATGGCTGTGGCTAAAGAGGCCATGCTGGTAGAGTGCACAGCTGGGCACAGGGGACAGGGAGAGAGGAGACCTGGAGCCAGACAGACCTGGGTCACACCTGCCCTGACACATGCCTGCTTTCCTCAGCTGCAAATGATGAGACCACATGAGATTAATTTCATTAAGGGAGATTATGAAATGTGCCAGTGTTTACTAAGCATGCAACAAATGGCATGTTTCAAATTCATTAGTCACTGGGTTTTTGAGGTAGTGATTTTTTAGTCATTGAACCTAGGGCTTTGTACATGCTAGGTAAGTACTCTACAACTGAGCTATAGCCCCAGCCCAATGATTTGTTTTTTAAAATAGATTTTTGCCCCAGTCAGTTGACCAAAATACCATATTGAGTTGTCATTTCTGTTAGATGGTCTATGTTCTCTCTATTTGTATAAAATTAAGGGCTTTCTTAGATTTTAAATAAGTTTCTCTGTGTTTTGTTTTTTATTTTTTCACTAATAACAAGTAAGAGAGGTAATTTGTCAAATGTTAAGTTCAGAAAGTATTTTGATTGTAATTGGTGACTGTAAAAACCCTAAAAAGATACACTTAGAGACTTCTAAGATCCATAATAGTCAATCATACTTACCAGTGGATCATACATAGTTGTGAATTTTGCAGGTCTGATTATATTATATTGCACAAATTTTGCTGGAAATAATCTTCTGCCCTAATCTTCTGAAGTAATATGACCATTTGATAATATATTAAACTATACCAGTGTTCTTAGGACCTTTGTTAATAAGCCTTTCCCCATCAACTTTGTCCTTTACTTCCTTAGAAACCTCAGATTTATGGGGAATCAAGCCATAACTTTGCATTTGCTAAACATTATGTACCATGTCTTCACTATGACTACAGATTTCAAAGAAATTCTCTTTTACTTACATGGAACAATTTCACTCTAACAGTGACCAATAATGTGAAAAAAAAATTGCTTGATATAGTGCTGCTGATGGTTAGGCAAAGATAGTGTGTGTGTGTGTGTGTGTGTGTGTGTGTTTAAAAATCTGATCAAATATTGGAGTGATGAAATTGTAAACTCCATGCCAGCAGAGACCATATTGTCTTCATTCTTGCATATAGGCACTCAATAAATATTTGTGGATATGAAGTGTCTTGTGGTATTAGCGTATTTATTCATACCAGCTGTGAGAGACTGCTTTTTTTTTTTTTTTTTGGTCTTTTTTTGAGACAAGCCCCAGCAGTCCTGGAAATATGTAGACCAGGCTGGCCTCGAACTCACAAAGATCGGCCTGCCTCTGCCTCCCAAGTGCCGGGATTAAAGGCGTGCATCACCTTTAGAGAGACTGCTTTTAATGATACTCTTTAAGTCTCAGAAGTTAACCTGCTTTGGGTAACAGTCAATGGAAATACTAAAATGGATGAACAATCCAGGAACTCCATGCCAGCCAGCTAAGGCACAGAGCCACCTTGGAGATGTGTCTGTTTAAAAATGTGGGTTGGAGAGATGGCTCAGCGGTTAACAGGTACTGACTGCTTTTGCAGAGGACGCGGGTTCGATTCCCAGCACCCACATGGCGGCTACGAACCATCCTTAACCAGTTCCAGAGGAATCCGAAGCCCTCTTCTGAGCTCCACAGCATTGCACAACACAGGTGCACTCACATACATGCAGGCAATACACTCATACATATAAAATAAAAATAATATTTTTTAAAAACGTGACCAAATGCACCTTCGGGCACCCCTTGGTAAGTCTAGGAGTTGGAGTTTTGGATAAACACACCTTCACCCTGTCACCCAGCTTCCCAGCCCATGCAGTCTCGGCCTCTACCTGAGATGAACACCTTGTGTGGGCCACTGCTTCCTGGCTTTATCTGGACATCTGGTTATAACTTTCTCTAGGTTCCATCACTAAAGATTTTGACAAACAGGTCTATCCCTATTCACCCCACAAAACCCCTAAACCGTTTCTTTGACACCCACCAAGTACCCTCTTGGTGGTTTCATTAGCGTCAAGGGGCAAGAACATCAGGACGAAGCTGTTTCTGGGCCTCTTCCGCCCGTCTTCCCTCCGGCTGCCACTACCCCCTCTGCCGAGGATTCCAGGCCTTACCACTTCTCCGCTTGTACACACCGCTGATTCCCAAGTCTCGGGCACGTGGGTGCGGGCTCCAGCTTGGCCCGCCCCCGTTTTCAAAGGCCTGGGGAGGCTTTTGCCACAGTTTGTGCCTTAAACGTGTAGTTCCCTTACTAAGGAACTTAAGTTTTCAGAAAGGAAGCTGTTGGAGGCGTGGTCACCGAGCGCCACTTCGACCTCTGGCTCCGGCTCCGCGGGTGCGGGGCACCCGCCGCCGAGTACAGCGGCTCTTCCGGCGGAGGCGGTGGCCCTGCTCCCACAGCGACGCGCCTCCGCCGCTCCCCCGCGCGGCCTGAAGAGGCGCCTCCCGTTGCCGCCGCCAGTGAGGGAATGCGAGTCGGCGCGCACTAGCAGCAGCTGCGGCTGAGGCGCTCAAGGCAAGGCGGCGCGGCGCGGCGCGGCGCTCTGAGCTGTCCGGCCGCCCGGCCCACTGCCCCCTCAGCCTGCGGCGCCTCAGCTAGAGCGGCCTGAGCCCGGCTCCAGCACGTGCGC